AACAAGTCTCATCTGGTAAATTGTTGGAAAATGGTGAATAATGTTGGTAAATGGACTGTCCCGTCTTCAGAACGCACCACAATGGCCACCCCATCGATCAAACGTTCTCATTGAGGAAAGGAAAAAAGACATGTCTGCTTTGACTCTTTCAAGGGATTCCCCACCACCTCGTCTTTGCAACCAGAATAGACATCACCTCCCATGCCCCCCCTCCCAGAAGACTCCTCTCCCCACCGGTGGGAAGTACCGTCCCACCCCCGAAGAGTGACCACATCATCGTGCGCCCACGGAGTTCCGGTCCCAGCAGCGAATCTCCACGTTCCCAGCTTTCACCTTGGGATTGGCTTGTAAAGCACCCGGCCTCGAGGCCTCGGAAGCCCAGACGGCGGCGGAAAGAGAAAGGACGTGGTCAGAAGAGACATGGTTGGAAGGATCCAATCGAACACTCACTCAGAAAATCCGTGTTTGTCTCAACAAAACAGCAAGTGGCAAGTTCTTGTCCCCAGCAATCCAGAAAAAGCTCTTCGTGAAGTTTGCTTCGCGGAACCCGTCAGTTGATGTCACGTATACATCTTGCTCCCGTCGGGACTCACCCCGGGAGAGAACAACCACGGCTCGGACCGAGCAGAAAGAACGTTGCGTACAAAAGACCAGGCTGCCACCTTTCTGTTGGTTCGGGGTCCAGGCTGGAGAGCCATGCACACTGTTAAACAATGTCATCATATGTAAGGACCATCTGTAACAATCTTCTCCCCGTTGTGCCAGGGATGCGACATACCCCAGAGGTGGTGCTCTGCAAGAGCTCCATCCAAGAACAAAATAGCTGTGTAGTGTGTGCTTTTGATTAATGAACCCCCTATCAGGATCATCCAACATCTCCATGTCAAAGTGATACATTCCTCAACAGTCAACCTTTGAGTCACATGTAGAGACCCTCCATTCTTTCTCTTTCATCAAGGAGCCATCTCTGTTTTTCACTTGCTGCACCCATGCGGCAAAAACACGGCCTGGTCACGTTGGTCGCGTTGGTCCTTCGTGGTGCTGTTTTCACTGGCTCCGTCAAGTGGCCCAGTCCGGGAAGGATGTCTTTCAGGCTCCGTGTTGTGAAAGGTGTCCAGCCACTGGTAGAGCTTCTCCTCCAAGCCATTTTTGATTGTAAACCCAAACAGTAGGTTCAGTAGGTTCAGTTGCATATGTTGCATATAGTTGAATCAAGCCTGGCTTTTTCAGAAACCACCAAATTGACAAAGTAAGGCTACTTACAGTATCCTTTCAGGATTCTATGCCATTATATAGATTAAGTTTCATGGGATCCTTCCCACTGCATCAAGGCACTGTCGGACCAAACTGATTTTCCTTCTGTGCGCAGTGCAAGAATGTCAGCAGTTGAGACTCAACGAATCCCATCGCTATTGGGTTGGAGGCCATCGCTATTAGGTTCCTTTTGCTACTATTTCTCAACTGATCTTCCCAGTTGAGACCCGAATCCCATGGTTCTCCTGCATTGACATGGCAGCCTTAGCATCTTTCGCCATGGCACGGGAAACCCTGCGAACTCGTGTCTCCCAATCCTGACCCCTTGAGTCTTTCAGGATGAAGCCGCAGCTTTGTGGGAAGGCCGTTTCTTTCTGACCTCCACTCCAACCCATTTGTGGAAGTCCAATCAACATGCGATATTTTTCGGAACAAAACACAATGGCAAGCCACAGAACATCTGTCATAAAGTTCAGACTGTTCGAGTCTGATCCAAACAAACATCTCTCCCAGTCGGCCATTCCTCTTTTCTCTGCTCGCATTGGTCTGCTTTGTCAGATCCCAAGAACCTCCGCAGCTCGTCGGCCTTGCCGTGGAAGAGTGACCGGGGTCTTGTTGCTCTTGTGTCACCTGAATGGTCCACACCAGTGGCGACCGGACGAAGCGCCCAGTACGTTCACATGAACACCTCACCAAGTCCATGGAGATTCAAAAACAAAAAGAAACTACTCGACCCAAACCAGGCTGATGGAGAAACCATATCAAAGAAGAGGAGCAGGGCTGAGCAGGTGAACAAAATAGATCCTGCCCACCCCTAACCTCCTTCGTTCCCTTTCTCCACCCCTTGGACCGATCTACCAAGGCGCAAGCGGCCAAAGGCGCACGTGACGAGCAAGGAGAGCAAGGGGAGCAACTTCCCACAAACAGAGAGAGAACCGGGAAGGAAAAGGGTCGCTGGTCAGGAATCATGGCACTTCGTTTGTAGCTGGCATATCGCTCCAAGTCTTCCGTGAGAAGGAAGGGGCCAACCAGGCACTGCGGCAGGGCGCAATCAAGACTTAAGATCTTACAGAGAGCGGAAAGTCATCAAACACAAAGTTGATTGTGGAGAAAGGTCACAACGAATCTTGGAACTTGGTCGGTCTCAACGGTGGTACCTCTTACACCGATGAAGAGCAGCGCAGTTCGTTTTTGCGCAAGAGTCTGGCCGATCCAACAAAACAATTGTGGGAAGGGCGCCCAAATGTGTGGAGCGCGGTTCGATCCCGTGGGCCCGTGGGTCCTTTTTTCACAGAAATCGGTGTTTGATCATGCCTAGGCCGGCTTTCACCCGCGGGGGCCCGCGAGCTTTCACAGCGAGCGAAATCGCTCATGCGCTCGGCCTTTGCCACCGGTCAAACACCGCTCTTACTGGCCCGACCTACAGTGCAGGCGCATTGTCTCAAAAGATGAGGGGAAGCAAAGTATCAAAACATCGGCACGACAAAGGGCGCGGGGTTGTCAGGAGTCGTCATAGCAAAGTCGGATGGCGCAGAAGCCACGGGAGACTGTTATCTCCACACCGAACTTCCCAAACAGGAAACACAAGCCACGGGAGAAGACCCGGCCGTTTCTACCACGCGTCACAAAGGTCAGTCTACCGGCAGCCGCAGACCATTGAAGACACTGCAACAAAGGAGACCTAAGCAACCCAGCAACCAGAGACGACCGTTGACTTACCGGAGTAATCAAAGGAGGTTCAGAACCCCTCGCAGGTAAACTTGTTTGGGGATGCCAAGCATGGCACAGCAACACAGCAACAGCCAACAACAACAACAACAATCTCCCGACTTGGCTGCGGAGCGGCAACCAGAAGCATTTTCACCAGTTTTTTCCACCTTGCCACTTGCACGAAGCAGAAGCATTCCTTGAAGCATCGTCACATCGCAGAACTGCAGGGCTGTGCGTCCAGTCGGGTACTGGCATTTGCACTAACAAGCTTCAAACGAGCCACTGGCACAACGACGCATTGAAGGGTCTACTACAAAAGCAACATTCTCACTGAGGTTTTTTTGCCGCGGTCTCGCTGCCACAACAAATCGCTTCTTGCCACTCCACAGAGGGCAGCTGGCAGAAAAAGTATTGTTTGCCTTTTCGTGGAGGTTTCCTGCCATGCTGTACACACACATACACATAAAT